TTGTCATTTGTCATGATTAGTCATGTAATATGATGGTAAAGTTTACGTGTGCTCTTAATTACAAGTCTAGAGTTCAATCCCTAGTTTCTAGGTTCCAAAAAAAATTAAAATTTGTTGTCATTTGTCAAGCTTCTATACTTTCTTAATGAGAAAATGTTATGCTTACAGCATATATCCACTCATTTAGTAATATGGTGCACTAGAGCGCTAGTTTTACCCAAGGACCAACTTCATTATTGTTATTTTTTTAGGGGAACAATGTGTAATATTATTTGCATAAATATTTGTGATATAATATGCATATACACTCTTTAATATCACATCATCATCATTGTAAAATACAATTTTGATAGATTATTGTTTTTGGTTTTATCTACTCCCCCCCTCCCCCCAAAAAAGAAGAAAAAAAAAGAAAAGAAAAGAAATTTGCTCCAGCTCTACAAAACCTAGAAGAACACTTATAGAGTTCTATTTGGTGGATTTGCTTGTGGTAATGGTTTAAGTGAGCGCGGCATACAACTTAATTATGTGATCTTTTGTTCTCAAATTCTTCATTAAGTGAAAGCAGCCCCATTCCGTTGTACTTATGATTTTGATAATTACAAAACATATTTAAATAATTAATTCATTCATTTAAGTGTGTAGTTAAATTGTTAAAAAATTACAAAGTAAGTAAACTTGGATTGCATTGAAAATAGACCAAAAGGCTTGAAAAATGTGCAAAGAACCAGCTATTGAAACTTGCAGCCAACTCTAGTGAAAGTGAAGTGCAGAGAGTTGACTCTAAGAGCTACAGCCAGCTCTACAGGTGAGAATTTCAAATCTGTTGTTTGGTGCGCATGGAAAACAGACGCAAAGTCGGCTCTAACTTTGCAACTAGCTATAATGGTGCATTTAATGCACGACGATCGACTTATTTGAAGATTAATTAATGTTTTTAAAGTCGGAATCCCAAAGTTGGCTTTACATTTTGCAACTGATTGTGCAAAAAAACAGAATGTGCAAGAAACCCGCAAAATCGGCTCTAGGAATCTAAGCTAGCTCTATGTAGAAAATAGAATCTAAACCCACAAAGCCGGTTGTATATTTTTTAAGTTGGTTGTGGAGCCGACTCTAGAAGTTTAAACCAACTGTGCTAACAAATCCACAACTCGAATTATGCAACTTGCAAAGCATTAAATAACCTCCAATAGCTAATAATGGCTATTTTTTACTATGGAGTTATAAATATAGTGGGTAGAAAATCTGAAACAAGTTTGAAGAGCATTGTATTGAATATCTTGACTTATCAACTTATACTTTTAACTTGAGATTTTGATCTTTGAAAGATCTTTACTTGTAATCATCTTCTTGTTTTATTTATGAGTGATCTTGGAGGTGTGAGTATTCCATCAAAAGTGATTTGAAGGGAGCATCATTTGGGTTTATCTTGTAAAAGGGTGAGATTTGAGAGAAATACCCATCTTCTTATAAAAGGATTGAGTGGTTCCTTTAAGCCACCCTTGTTCTTGATAGTGGAGAGTGTAAAGGAAATCTTTGATGAGTGAAGCCAAGGTAAAGGACTAAACTCCAAGTAGTTGGACCGAACTTTTATAAAATCATTGAGCAAGCCCTTTTTCCTTACTCTCTTTAATTTTTTTTGTTTTGTGGTTGCAAACAGAATGAAATTTTTGAACTCCAATTCACTCCCCTCTTGGAGTGCATTGAGCCAACACATTTGCGTGCAGAATACGAAAATATGATATGCTATAGAGAGACATAAAATTGTTCTCAAACAATCCAATCACCACGTCTTCTTCCTGGTCTGCTCATGTTACATTATTTCTCCTTGCATAACATAATGATACCAAACTAGGAATGCACCAATTATGTGTAACAGAAGCCATAATACTTGTCCAAATAAGCTAAAGTGCCATGGAAATCAACAACAGTTTGTATATGAAACAAGAGTTTTATGTGAAAAGTGATCTATATACCTCCGCCTCTTGAGCCATCTCCTCGATGCTTCTGTCCTTCCTTTCCTTGTCTAAATCAAGCTTTTCCTTTAATTTCTTCTCCTTCTCATCTATCTACAGAACAAGTGACAAGCAGAGGAAGAGTCAGTTAAGAATTAAATTATGGAAACAATGGAAGTACAATAGACATGATATAAAGTCTCACTGCATCATAGATTTCATCATTCCTCTCAAAGTCACCCACTTTCCTTGGGAGGATGTGAATGTGAACATGAGGTACTGTTTGTCCTGACTGAGGTCCATCCTAATTAAAGTAGACACCATACAAATAGTTTTAACATCATAAGAACGTATAAAATTTATCTAGCAGCATTATTACATTGATACATAATTTATATATAATGCAGAGATTATCATGCCCTGAACAGTTAACATAATTTACTGTAGCAACAAAGGAGAAGCATTTGGATGCAGAGATTAGAGAAATAATGAGCACACAACAATGTTAAACTCAATACTTTGATCCTGACATAAACACAGGCAGCATAATCAAACTGATATGAGCAAATTAATAACCAAGAAGATATTTGAGTTCATGTAAAAGAGTTATTTCAGTTGTCTTACTTGGATGGTAAACGTCAGTGATGATGCCTTATGATAGCTCTCAAGCTGACTTCCAATCTTCTGTGCTGTTATCCATAAATCACTGGTCTCATCAACAGTGAGATCAGCAAATCGCTTAACTTCACGTCTTGGGCAGACAAGTACATGTATCTAATGTCAAGCAAAACAAACTAAAAACTTGGCTCCATCCTGTATATAGTTTCTCAACAAGCTGAATGAAGATTACACATGTTTATACCAAAGGAAAATCTACAAATTTCGGTATGTCAGGGCCTAATGATTTGGATGCTTAACATAATCAGGTCAAACTGTTCCTTCCATATCTTATAGGAGCATGGAACTGTGTAGCACCATAAACAACAAAATCATCCAGGCAAAACAATGCACTCAACCTTTTCCAATGCCTGGGTGGATAAGCATATTTACAAGATGGATAAGAAATTGATATCAACATCATGTACCTAAAGTTTATAATCAGCAGCTCTCGGCCCAGCATATTATGCAGCCCCGAGTATGTATTTTTTAGAAAAGAACACTATATCTATAGAAGACATGAGGTCTTGAGCTATTGGACGAATAAAATAAGGAAAATGGCATATATCCTACAGTCAGTGGCGGAGCCAGGGGGGTGCGAGGGGTGGCGCTCGCCCCCCCTGAAATTTGGAAAATCTTGCAATTAGTTTATGAAAAATTATCTAGCCTCCCCTGAACTTTGAAAATTTTAGTATTTTGCCCCCCCGAAAAAAATTTCTGCCTCTGCCCCTGCCTACAGTCATATTTCAATAGTAGAACTCAACCGTTTAAACTAGTAGATACAGTTGAAAATTACTTCAGCAGCAGCAGGATGCTTACATATCTCTGTCTATAACATGTTGCAAACTAACAAAACTGCACCTTGTTTTCAACTAAACTAAAGGCAACAAAAGGAAGTTACCCAGTTTAATTTTGGTCATAACTACATAACAAATATATGACTGAATCATTCACAGAATGTATCATTCTAATTTTGAATGAAAAACAGGATATGACCTGCAATGAACAAGGAACACCATAATCAGAACATATTAAGATGTTAGACGAAAGAGAAACAGACGAAAAGAACAACAGACATATATAATTGGGAAAGAGACTAATCTAACAATAATAATAAATTAAAAACAAAGTCGAATCCTTTTTCATGGATTCATAACAAGTCAACCACATACACATCTAAAGGGGAGGCAAGAAGGGCTTTCTTCTCTAAGCAGATCATAAGGTTCTAAGAAAATACCGATTGCAATGTCAAACTGAATGAAAGAGTGCGGAGGTTTAGACACCCCCAAAGCAAGAAAAAAAATTTTTTTTTTTTCTGAGGAAAACCCAAAGCAAGAAAAAAATTTTTTTTTTTTCTGAGGAAAACCCAAAGCAAGAAAATTGATAATACAAAAGGGAAAGGAAGAATCTTTAATACCAGGAACAACAGGGCGGAGGTTGACGAAGGCAAACGAAAGAGGGGTGGTGTAGAACACTTCTCTACAACTTATGGAATACGACCCGAAGGCATAACTCTCCGTTGACATCTGCGACGATTGTTTTTGTTAGCCATTAACTAGCAATTGAAGAATAAGAAAAAATTAAGTGGGTGTTCGACTATTTGCCTTGGCGGTGGCGGAGATCTGTCGGAACCCTTTAAAAGAATGTGAAATCAACCACCTCCGGCAGGGTTTTAGTCCAAGAGACGGCAGAAGCAACTGCACCTGTATCATTCACTCCTGCCGAGTCTTCCGTTCAGTCTTTTTTTATGAAGAAAAACAAAAGATGCCTCGCTTACCTTTACTTCTTAGAAAAATAAAAATGAATAATTGCAGTTGGGTCCTCCGTAAGAGTAGCAAGTAGCCGACGCGAACGGCAGATGGGATCGGATTCGGGTTGAGTGAGCTCGGGCGATAATTTATAGGTTAAATGCTAAATTTGGTCCCTCCACTTTAGTGCGTTGCACATATTTGGTCCCTCAACAATTTTTTACACTTTTTTGATCCCTCAACTATACGAAATGCACTCCATTAGTCCTTCTGTTAGTTTGAGCCGTTAACCTTGCTTAGGTAACATTTTTTATATTTTTTTTAATGATATGGAGAGCAAAACTTAAAAAAGTGATGATTTACATAAAACTTTTGCCATGTCACATGCTACCTGGCGAAAACACACCAATTCCATCCAAATGGGTCCCACATCACCATTAAGAATTGCTTCTTTCCCAATCCATTACTATTTTTATTCTTTTCATAAACAATGTTCTTTCCATTTTCAAGATTGAAGTTCAACAGAACAAAACCCAGCAAATACGTTCCATCGAACCCAGTTTGATTCACTGAACTCAATTGCTCAAAAATCCCTGCAATTTGGATAATCTCTCGGCAAACAATCATATAACAAAAAAAAAAA